AGGGGGGAAGACCCGCCGTGTTAGGACTGAGGTTCGGCGAGACAAGGGAGGGTGGGAAGCTCGGGGAGATAGGGGGGAAGAGGGAGAGAAGGGGGGGAAGGGAGGTTCGGGGAGATTGATTGATTGATTGATTGATTGTTGTTGTTGTCAGTCTTTTGTGGTGAACTGTTGTCCTGCTCGTATCTTTCGAACTTGATTCGGCGAGACAAGGAAGGGGGAGGTCCGGGAGGAGGTTCGGGGAGGGAGGGGGAAGACCCGCTGTGTTAGGACTGAGGTTCGGCGAGACAAGGGAGGGTGGGAAGCTCGAAGAGATAGGGGGGAAGAGGGAGAGAAGGGGGGGAACGGAGGTTCGGGGAGATTGATTGATTGATTGATTGATTGTTGTTGTTGTCAGTCTTTTGTGGTGAACTGTTGTCATGCTTGTATCTTTCGATCTTGATTCGGCGAGACAAGGGAGGGGGAGGTCTGGGAGGAGGTTCGGGGAGGGAGGGGGGAAGACCCGCCGTGTTAGGACACGTTCGGCGAGACAAGGGAGGGTGGGAAGCTCGGGGAGATAGGGGGGAAGAGGGAGAGAAGGGGGGGAAGGGAGGTTCAGGGAGTTTGGTTGATTGATTGATTGATTGACTTTTGTTGTTGTTGATCATTTGCAGTCCGCTGTTGTCGGGGAGATAGGGGGTGATGGTTTGCTTAATTGTCGGGGAGATAGGGGGAGATAGAGAGTGGACGAGGGAGAGCATTGAGGGAGGGAGAGCATTGAGGGTTGTTGAGTGAACTGGCTTTAACCAGCATTGCTCCTTCTGCTTTCATCGTTTCGTTGCAGGATGACGAAGAGCCGCAATGAGGCCGTGAAGAATCACTTCACGGAAGTGGGGGACAGCGGCAGAGCCGACAAAGGTAACAAACAGCGGATCTGCAATTATTGTGACAAGCCTCTGGCCGGGACAGCGAGCAGGGCAAGGGACCATTTCTTGAAGGGTTCGCGATGCGATGTCGAGCGCCTGCGAGGTGTTGTGCCGAGAGAAGAGTACTCGAGGAGGGTGAAGGGGAGATTGGCTGCGAGGTCGGAGTTGGGAGCCGTTACGGGAGAGACTGCGGAGGGGAGGTCATCGGAGGACGACCCAGTCGTCCACAGGTGTGGTCGGCCTCCGTCAAACAACGATGGAGGACAGTGCTGCCGTTATCACGGCGCACGAGCAAACACAGCGCACAGTGGACGACTGGATGACGGCAGAATGCATCCCATTCAATATGATGCCGAGCGCGTACTGGGACAAAATGGTGCATGCACTCATGAATGCGCCCAAAGGATTCCGGTACGCGAAATTCGAGACTGCAAGGACAAAGAGGGTCGAAGTGACGAGGGGGAGGGTCGGGATGAGGGTGGAGGAGCTGCGGCAGGAGTGGCCAACCACTGGCTGCATGTTGCAGCTTGATGGTTGGACAGATCGCCGACAAAGACCACACATCAATGTGATGGTCTCCTTCCCGAAGGGCTCTATCTTCTGGCGAAGTGTGTGCATGTCAGGGCGCAACAAAGGCGCCTCGGCATACTATGGCATTCTGAAGAGGGCAATACAGGAGATAGGTGCGGAGGCAGTGGTGGGGGTCGTTATGGACAATGCTGCCGTTTGTGCAGCTGCGGGGCGAATGGTGGAAGCGGATCACCCGCACATCTTCTCGGTCCCATGCACAGCTCACTCGCTTGACCTAATTTTTGAGTCTTTCGCGAAGATCACGTGGGCGGGCGAAGTTATTAAAAGGGCGTCGGAGGTAGCAAAGTTCTTCACGAACCTTTCGCGGGTGTGGGATCTCCTCCTCCACTACTCCAATGGCAGCGTCGTGGCAAAACCGGGTGCGACCCGGTTTGCCACGAACTTCATCATGCTGTCGAGCCTGCAGGGGTTGTACTTGCCGCTGCGAGCGTGTTTGACGGACGATGATTGGAAGCCAGCGATTGTGCACACTTCGCAACACGAACTGTTTGTGAGGGTGACACATGCCATCTTCGACGACACCTTCTGGGCAGATATCGAGAAGGTGATGCAAACRTCCGAGAACCTCCTCGATCTTCTAAAGAAGGTCGACGGCGCGGGCCCCACCATCAGTAAGGTGTACGCCCGTATGGACAGCGCTGTGGAGAAACTGAGGGAGAGCGGGCACTTCACGGAAGCAGAAAAGGATGAGCTAGAGGCTATAATAATGCGGCGCTGGAATACAATGACTTCACACCACTGCATTGTGCTGCGCTGTTTTTGGATCCGGAGTACAGAGCGTCGCGGCCGGAATCCGATGCAGAGATTGTGGACAGGTTTTGGACATGGCTTTACTCGTGGTGCAAGGAGGCTGCGTACAGGGAGGTCGACGCGGAGGTCTGTTCTTGGATCGAGGGCACCGGGAGGCACACTACCGAAAATGCGAGGACACAAGCCCATACGATGCAGCCGGCGAGGTGGTGGCGGAAGTGGTGCAGCGACATGCCCATCCTCCAAAAGCAAGCCGTTCGGCTCCTTGGACAAGGCTCCTCCTCCTCTAGTTGCGAGAGGAATTGGAGCTTGTTCGAACGGATTCACAGCCGTCTCCGCAACAATCTTGGCGCCGTCAAGCTAAGCACGCTGGTTTTCAACAGATGGAACCAGCACTTGTTGGACTTCTTGACCAAGAAATCGAAGGTTGACGATGCGGCGAAGTGGGAAGAGGATGAGCCGGTGGAAGATCTCAAACGAGATGAGATAGCGTCGGATGCACGCCTGCGGTTGGGGGAGTGGCGTGCCCGCTTGCGCGGAACACATTCGGTCCACGACGAAGCTGAGAATAACGACTCGGACTCCGACGAGCAGGACATTCCTGTCCAAGCGCAACAAACGGCTGTTGCGGAGGAGGTCACAATTCAGCATCGTCGGCTGCGCAGCAAGTTGTTCGAGCTCGAGAGGGAGCTCAACGAGTCGTGGAGGAAGGCAACGAAAGCTTCCAAGTTTTTGGCCCGGCAGCATTTGCATGACTTGGATCAGGCTACCAGGACCATGACCCTCGAGCATGCCAACAAGTACAAAGCTGCGCGGGCTGCTGCATGTGCACCACCCTCCGTACCCGCCAAACGAGGGAGAGGGAGACCTCGAAAGGACGCTGCGACTCATGGGGGGACAGGTGATGAGGAAGTTGAGGATGAGGAAGGTGGAGATTTGGAAGGGGTTGGTGCACCCACACGTGCGACAAGAAAGCGGGGACGACCACGAAAGGCGCCCGTGGAAGAGGAGGAGGCTGGAAATGGAAGGGGGGCATGAAAGCGGGGACGTTTGCAGGTGCAGCCCGCCGAAGAGGAGGAGGAAGCAGCGCTCGAAAAGACGAGCAGCGCTGACAAACATGGCAGCAGCGACGGAAGCAGCAGCAGCAACGAAAGCGGGGCTGAGCATAATGAAAATGACGGGAGCAGCGGCAGCGAAGGTGCGAGTGATGGCAGCGACAGCAGCGATGAAAGTGGAGGTGGCCGTGGCAGCAGTGATGGCGGCGAGAAAGATGGGAGGTCGTCGGAGGAAGAGGACAACTCCGAATGCGAAGGCCAGTAGGGAGATGGGAGTTTGTCGGAGGCAGAGGACGACTCCGACTTACAGTGCAGTCAGACATCGCGCTGAAGAGAGAGAGAGAGAGAGAGAGAGAGAGAG